ATGGCGAAGACTTCAGATACTTCTTGGGGGGGAATTGAATGAAATTACCTTTTTTCCAACATCTTCTACAGTGGATTGTATATGTAAATATACGAATTCCACTTGAGATCTGGAGTAACCCAAGAGACGTTCTTAATAATTACTCAGCTCTAAAGTCGTATAAAATGGCGTCGTTGTATCACTGAAACAGTATTCACACTTGCATTTTGCGAAGTAATCTTCTCCTCTCGATGGAATTCGCTGATTCATACGGCGGTTATTAAACGCTGTTACGAAACTTCGACTTTTTCTTCTTTTGATTTCTTGTTGATATCTTAGTGAATCTTAAACGGTTAAAAAGCAAGCAACCAAATCGCCATAGGTTATTCTAGACATGTTAGATTTGTTTTCCTTTCCCAACAGTTATTACCTTTTCGCTTTCCATTTTTAATTTAAAACATGCACGGCATGTTTTTATCAATTTATTTGTACAAAAAAAGTTTTATGTTACATATGCTTTTTTTTTTTTTTATAAAATAAGGTTTGTTTTTCTAATGGGTTTTTATCATTTTATTTAGGTACCTCCACGAAATCGCTAAAAAAAAGAGCATAGCTTGATGAAAAAGACGCCAACCTTGCCGAAAACAAAATTTCATCGTCTAAATGCTTATGTTATTATTAAGAGGAAAGGCCAAAGTTTTTTTTAATTATTTTTAAAAATTTTCCTTCTAAATTTTGATTAAAAAAAAAACCTTGTTTCTGTTTGTATCACCGGAACTAGTAAAATAACAGGCAATTTTTAGCACGTTTTTTTTTTTTTTTTTTGTATGACACACATTAATTTTGAAAATCTTGCAAAAATAAAAATAATTGTCGGATGTTAATGAAACTTTCAGGAACTATTCACAGATGATCGAAATTATAATAAATATGTTTTTTTTTTTTATTAAAATCATGGCAGAAATATTTCTTTATATTTATTACCCCCCCCCCAAAACTAATTTTATGAAAACGCTAGAAAATATGCATCGGGTTTAGTGATTACAATAGTTAAAAGCACAAGGCTTTGAGGAATGCAAAACACTTTTCTTTTCTTTCTTTTTAATTGGAAGAACCTGAAAATCAGCTCTGAATTGTAACATACAAAACTCAATAAAACTAAGATATTATTTAATTTCAAATGCTTTTATTTGTATTTTAGTTGTTTTTATGAATATGGACATTATTTTCTGAAAGCGAAAAAAAATTTCGATGAAAAATGAAATTTTAGTACAATTATTTGTTATTTCTTAATTATAACAGATTTTTACTTTTAAGTTGTTAAAATATAAAATTAGTTAAAAGCCGCATCGGGTTTCCTAAGTGTCCATATGAGATAGATCTTTTTAGCGCGTTGTAAATTGTATCCACAGTAATTAAGAAATGTAATATTGTGTTTATAATCGGGTTGTAATTATAAAGTACGGAAGACCAAGCAGAATACAATTAAATTGCATAATTTGAGTTAAGCATTGTTCTGCGCTGTTAAGGCCTTTACTTTTGCGAAACACGTGTGGAGAAGTTAATTTGATTTTTCAATTTAAACTGAGAAAGGTAAATACAAGTATCAGTATCATCTTATGAAATTTATATGATCTTATTTTTATATTAATCTGTTATGAGATTTTTCCATAAATGAAATATCAAAATTAATAATAAAATGAATGGAAATACAAATAACACAGTAAAATGTAATAAATGTACATAAAATTAGAGTATTTTATGTACACTTCTGATAAAATTTCATAAGAAAGGTACCTATAAATTAATTAGATACCTTTCTTATGAAATATGGAATTTAATCTCACTCTTAACAGTCTTATTTTAATTTTTTTAGAATATATTTTCCATAAAGCATCATAAACGTAAAGGTGAAAGCTAAGTAAAAAAAAAAAAAAAATTAGAGCGCTGAAAGTTTTCATAAAAAATAACGAGGTAAATAATTTGTTCATTTAAATGTAAATTATTTCACTTTTCTCCTTCCGTAGAACAAATTATCCTCACGGAATCCGTCAATATGTCATTCATCACCTGTCAAGTGACGCGAAAGTTTATGACCTGCTTTTTGTTTTATTTTCAAATTACATCTTTTCGGCGCAGAAACTAAGTTTGTTTTGGTTCAAAATATTTTAAATAAACATTATAATTTCTGATTTTCTTAAAATAAGTTTTGAAAAAATGATAATTGATATTTAAAAGAATTTCAAAGTGAGATTTTTTTTTTTTAAAATGGAAAAAAAAAAATGGTCAATTTTGTTGACTCAAAAAAAAAACAAGATTTTTAAAGAAAATTTCGGACGTGGTGGGAATGAATAAAAAATGTAAAAAAAATACCCCCAAAATACTTTGATCTTTCCTCTTAATGATAACATAAACCTTTAGACGATAAAATTTTGTTTTCGTCAAGTTTGGCGTCTTTTTCATCATGCTATGCTCTTTTTTTAGCGATCTCGTGGAGGTACCTAATTTTATTTTACAAAATCCCTATCACTCGAATTTTCAAACGCCTAGACGTTGAGTAGTGGTTAGTTTGGTTAACTATTACTACTGAGTAATGAGTTCGATTCTCACTGGCTTTCCCACGCAAAATTCGATATTAAATTGCCCAGCAAAGTTGGTCGTAAAATCAGCCAACCTAACCTCGATCTTTCAATTTTTCATTTACTTTTATAGGAAATAAACCCTACTTCTAACACAATTACATACCCACATACGTACCATATTAAAACACGTCCAAATTTGTTTTCTACCCCAAAACAGACAATATTTACAAATATATCCAAAAGATTCTACAACACAAGGCATTTAAACCATATCGTCTATTGGTTAGAAATTTGCCACATCTAAGCTACGCTTGGAAAATCTCTATTGGTTAAAAACTAAAATCACCATGGGATATAAATGACCAATTAGAGAAAACTAAAACCTTATTTTTCTCGAGCTTACTTCCGGGAAAAATTCTTATAAAAGCCGACAGATTTCGACTTTTAGAAGTAGGAATACGACTGTCTCCAAGGCGTTCGAACACAAGAGAAGGTATGGCTACATAGCAACCCCCCCAAGAAACATGTGTCGGTGACTTCAAATGAATCATCTCCAGCAATAACGCAGGGACGATCAGTGAATTTTCGCTGATGATCAAAGTTTTTTCTCAAATATTTTGTTTGACTGTGGACCAACTACTCAAATGTCTTTTCTCAATAACAGCTTTTCTTTTCTGTTGGACCAACTACCCAAAGATATAACTCAATTTGGACTATTTTACTCCTTTTTACTCTTTTGAATTCATGTACATATATAGAGATATTTAACAGGCATACCTACGGGTTTTTTTTATTTTTATTTTATTATTGTTTGGAATTCAGACGTTTGGATTTTTAATATACAAAAACCTGGACGACTGAATTACGTAAATTTTCTCATTTTCTCGCTAATATTCACGACACTACATTGGAATGAAAACTCTAACATTTTTAGGCATTTAAAACAACAGGCCTGCCCGCACACACAATTCCGTAAAATACCTGTCGAAAACAATAAAACAATAGACAAAACTAAAAATCCTTGAAGAATTATACATCAAACAGTTGAAACCCAACCTAAACAAAATCAACTATGGAATCTCTAGAAATATCCTTAAATGCCTGTAGTTGGTGACGGAGGCCATTGGTTTGTGCCAACGGCTTTCCATACTTCATACTTCTCCAATTCACTCTCGCGTGGTCATGTGTGACGTCATGAGATGCGGTGCGATTTCTGCTACTAGCGTCTTTATATGCACGTGTTTATCGTTGCTTAGAGATCATCTATGTAAACAATCACAGACTATCATCACTGTCTTGTCCGTATATTGCTTAATATGTTGTAATAAGACATCTTTGATAATGGCTTATGTACGCCGAAAGCTTAGATTATATTAAAAAAATATAGATCAATATTGTGAATTTCTTTCTTCGTTCAATTATAATGTTATTAAACTTATTAGACGTTATGAAAAGAATTTACATAAAATAAATAGACAACACTTGTCTATATTATTTAATGAAACGTGTATGAACGAAAAGATGCTGCCTAAATACACACAATATATATATATATATATATATATATATATCGTTAAATTTTCCTTACACCTCATTGGTTTCTTTGTTACTCCACGTTTATTATTCTCTTTTTTCATTTGCTTTTCTGTTCCCTTTTCTCTACCATTTCTCACTTTCACTTTCCTCTCTCACCATTTATTTTTCCTTTTCTTTCTCTTCAGACATTTTATCTCCTGCTTCTCTATAATCTCTACCCTTTTGTTCTCACCTTCTCTCTCACCCTCTCTCTATATATATATATACATATATATATATATGTATATATATATATATATATATATATATATATATATATATATATATATATATATATATTATCATATATATATTGATATATATATATATATATAAATATTATTATTTTTATATATTTATATAATAGACAAATAAATAAATCTAATTGCTGTTTATAAACTTTTAATATTCGTCGAATTTTTTCTTGAGCAGAAATGATCGATCGAGAAAAATCGTCGAATTTGTTTGTTTATAAACAGTTAAAGATTAAATAGACGATTATATATATAACCATTTTGCTAACCAGACGATATATATATAACCATTTTGCTAACCAGACGCTGCTTTGTGGCTAAGTGGTTAACAGCACGTCAGACCAAATGACGGTTCAGCATAAGGGTTACAGGTTCGATTCCTGTCAGAGAGCGCATATTTTCTACAAAATTCCTCTCACATTCATGCCGATAAATGTAATTAATACTGTTAAATTTAAAAATGGTGCATTTACTTAAATTATATCACTAAAAATAATGTATAAACAGAAAATATATTAAACGATTTTCGGAGTTAATCCATTATATATATATATATATATATATATATGTGTGTGTGTGTGTGTATTCACTGATAGTTCCCCATTTTCCTATGCTTTATTGCTTTTCTGTCACTCTTTCTTCTCTTTTCCCTTTCTCTTTCACTTTCTTTTTTGCTCTCTCTTTTTTATTATTCTTTTTCATCACTTCTATTCTCTTTCTTTCCCGTTTTCTGTCTCTTTCTCTCTTTATACTATTAACTGGGTTTTCTCCTACTTAGCTTTTATCCCCTTCTCTCTTTCTTTCTTTCTTTCTTTCTTTCTTTCTTCTCATTATCGCAGTGCCTCTCTGTCCGTGTCCTTTGGACTTTCTTTTAATCTCTCTCTGCTTTCTCTGCACATATTCACTTCTTGATCAATCATTCTCAACGCAGACAAAAGAATGTTTCCTCTTATTACTTCCAATCACAACATGACGCATTCTTCTCGTTCTCTGGCCTGACAGACTTTGTGTTCTTTTATGGGTTTTCATCTGTGATTACAGCTGATAAGGTTATAACATGTTTTGGAACAATCACAAAGAAAGAAAGAAAGAAAGAAAGAAAGAAAGAGAGAGAGAGAGAGAGAGAGAATGAAAGAATAGTAAAAAGACAAGGAAAAAGAGGAGAATGTATTATGTCTCACGGAATCTCTCAATTCTGACCCCACCTCTTCGTCGTTTTCTATGTGCCATGTCCCTATGGGACACTGGCGATAATGGCTCTCCGCAATTTTCTGTCCTAAGTAAATTTTACCTTTCGTCAACCCTGTCGTAAGGTAGGATATGCGATGATTTCCTCTGTCCCTCTTGCCTTCATTGTCCTGTGAGTGGTAAATTTTCCAAGCCTTCTTTCCTCATTATGCGTCTCTATTTGGTGTTAATTATGTTTTTTTTTTGTTTCCATTTTAAAAAAACTTGTTTTTCATGTTCGGTCTATAAAATTTTTTACCTTTCTTATTAATTTGCTTCCTTTTTTAAAACTTCTTTCAGTTTTTTTCGGTCAAAATTCTTTCTTTCTCGGTCTTGCCTGCTCTTTTTCTCATTTTTTTCTTTCTCTTTTTTCCTCTTTTTCTGGATCTATTAAATGCTCTTTCTTTTAAAAATTTCTCTCTCTCTTTCTTTGCCTCTCTTTCTCTCTCTCTCTCTCTCTTTCTTTTCTCTTCTTTTTCTCTCTTTTCTGCTCTTTTCTTTTCTCTCTCTCTCTGCCTCTCTTTCTTTCTTCTTCTTTCTTTTTTCTCTCTCCTTTTCTCTCTCTCTCTGCTCTGTTCTCTCTCTCTTCTTGATATTCTCTCTAGAAAAAAAATGTTTCTCTCTCTCACTCTTCGATATCTCTTCTCTCATCTCGTGATCTATATGGAATGATCTTTCTCTCTCTCTCTGTTCCTATGTATATCTTTATCTTTTTTAGTTTTCGCAGGTGCCCTCTCTCTCTCTCTCTCTCTCTGTTCCTCTCCCTATATCTTTATCTTTTCCTACATGTCACACTTGCTCTCTCTCTTCCTGCTCTCTCTCTGTTCCTCTCCCCATCTTTCTCTATCTTTTCCTACCTCTCACACGTGCTCTCTCTCTTCCTGCTTTTTCTTTCTCTCTCTCTCTTTCTCTGTATATATCTTTCTCTATCTCTATCTCTCACATGTGCCCTCTCTCTCTCCCTCGCCCCAACTCCCACCCTGATTTGATTTTACTTTTTAAGTCATAGCACTATATTAGACAACAGATAAAATGGTTGGGTCACCCTTTCAGAGAAACAGTTTATATTCTGTACAGAATTAAAAAGGCAAAATTTATTATTTTATTATTAAGAGACAGGAAATTGTGGAGAGCCATGATTGCCAACGTCGCGGAGGGACACGTTACATAGAAGAAAAATAGAAAAAAATGGCGGTTTTCTCCAGGAAATAGGAAGACTCAACGGTGGGAGAGTATGATGGCCTGGTGGCAAGTGTGTTTTTTTTTTAAATGAGACCGCTTAAAGTCAGATCTAGATACGAGAAATCACCCTCAATTTGAAACCGTCTGAGCAGACTGGGTTACTCGACGTGAGTGTATTTTGAACTAGGTCCCAGCTGCAAGATTATTTGCTGCTTTTAACAAAACCTGTCACCATATCTTTCATCCTTGGCCGTGCTGAATGCGCCTTGCATACACTTATCAAATTGGATATCATGATATTATATAATGGACATCGTATTTTCATATTTGTTCCCCAGCGACTCTTTATTGTGTACTGCTCACTCACTTTAATAATAATAATAATCCGGCATGATAGAGTGGGACAATATCTGCACTGGAAAATATGCAACTTTTACGGGAAGGAACCTGCAAGAAACTAGTATGAACATCACCCAGGCCAGATTACAGAGATATGACCTGTAACAATTTCATGGGATTTTACAATACACACAGACAGAACAATCAAAACTAATCGCCCGCACATGGTGATCAACCACCGCAAAAACAGAACGTACTCTTTTATTGACATAGATTATAATGTATCATTGAAGAACTTCAAAAAGAATCAAAATACAAGGACCTTGAAGTGAAAATCTCAAACATCTAGCACATGAGGATATCAATAATTCCAGTTGTAGTTGGAACCCTCGGATCGATTCCTATAGACTCATTGAAGATATCTGTTAGCCCATACCTTAAAGAAATACAAAAAAATTGTCCTCACAAGTACAGCTTACACATATCTTTCATCCTTGGCCGTGCTGAATGCACCTTGTATATTCTTATCAAATTGGATATCATATTATATATCATATATAAAGTTTTATCTATTTAAAATATGTGCAATCTTAGTTTTTTTATTTGTTGGGACCTAGAATGAAACGTGTATACAAAAGAAATCAAAGGAAATAATACTAATAATAATTGATCATATGAGATTTCAAGGCGACCTTTGAGGCTACCAAAACCCACATCATTGCCGTTAAGAAAAAATAAAATAAAATAAAATACATCCTCATCGACGTGGCTGCTCCTGAAAACCATTATGTTACGGTCAAGGAATATGACAAACTTAAGAAATACACTAACCTCCGGGTTAAGGTAGCCAGAATGCGGGACGTTCAGCCCACTGTTATACCAATTATTATTGGAACGTTGGTGTCTATACTACCAAAATTAAAATCTTACATGAAGAAAATCAGAATAACGCCTGGTATTCTCTTCAGAAGTCTGCGTCGCTTGGCGCTGCAAATATTCTGCAAAAGGTGTTATCTGTCTTACGCACAACTTGGAGAGCAGCCATAATGCAAGATCTTCAGGTGAAAAATAATACACACAGACAGAACAATTAAAGATAATCAGAGACCACAAAAAAAAACAGAATGTGCTTTCTTATTGACATGGCAGTTACTGCAGATTGTAATGTATCTTTGAAGATCTCCTTAAAACTAGTACAAGGACCTTGAAATGGAAATCTCAGAAATGTGGCACATGAGGACATCAATAATTCAAGTTGTAGTTGGAGGTCTAGGATTGATTGGAAAAGGTTACGATGTGCTAATTGAAGGGGTTCTTGGTAGCCCATGTATTAAAGAAAAAAAAAAATTGTATTCACAAGTGAAACACACTCCTTACGAATGGGTTTATTTATGTAAAATATGTGTGATCATGTGTTTTTTTTCCTTTTTTTTTGCTCAGTGGAAAATGTCATAATGCTATTTCTATTTTGGATCTCTGATTGGGACCCGGAAAGAAATGAATATACACCAGAAATCAAAGTAAAAAATAATAATAATAAATAAAATAATAATAATAATAATAATAATAATAATAGTTACAATTTGCAGCCCACATTTTTAAAAAAGGGCTTTATCTGTAAAAAAAATAAAATTGTTTTTTTTTTTCCTCATCTAAATGCTCAGTGGAAAATGTTATGATGTTATTACTGACCTTAGATCTATGGTTGGGACCCGAAAAGGAATGCGTATACACCAGAAATAAAATTTTTAAAAAATAATAATAAATCAGAGGGAACCTCCTCACGATCTGAGCTAAAAAAAAAAAAAAAAAAAAGTTTGTTCTCATGGACACCGGTCACAGATTCAGAAAAAAAGCTCGACATAATATACTGAATAACTTCCTAAAAAAAAAAAAGAAGAATTTTCTGGATTTATATAGGATACATCGCCAATTTAAATAGTAGAAGCATACGACGTGATTGGTTGATTCATGCTATGACGTAGTTCAAAGCTAGCTTAAAGTTAGCGAATAATTTTTTTTTAAACTGGAGATTCATCTAGATAGGAAGGCGGTGTCAGCGCTGTGCAGTGAAACTGTGGATGAAGTATTTGGTACCAGTCTGTACAGCTTGTTGCTTTCAATGAATAAAAAATAAGTAACTCCATGAAATCGCTAAAAAAAAGAGCAAAGCATGATGAAAAAGACGCCAAACTTGACGAAAACAGAATTTTATCGTCTAAATATTTATGTTATTATGAAGAGGAAAGACCAAAGTTTTTTTTTAATTATTTTTAAAAATGTTTCCATCTTTTTAGAACATTCTAAATTTTGATTAAAAAAACCTTGTTTCTCTATGTATCACCGGAACTAGTAAAATAACATACAGTTTTAAGTACGTTTTTTTTTGTTTTTTTTTGTATGACACATCAAATTGAAAAATTTTGAAAAAATAAAAATAATTGTCAAATGTTAATGAAACTTTCAGAAACTATACACAGATGATGGAAATTATTATAAATTTTTTTTTTTATTAAAGTCATGCCAGAATTTTTTTTTACGTTTATTACCCCCATCATAACTAAGTTTATGAAAACTCTAGAAATTCGACCGAATCCAGTTTAGCGATAACAATAGTTAAAAGCATGAGGTTTTGAGGAATGCAAATCGTGTTTTTTTCTTAATTGGATCCCCCCCCTTACCTGAAAATCAGCTCTAAATTGTAACATACAAAACTCAATAACAGAAAGATATTATTTAATTTCAAATGCTTTTATTTGCTTTTAGTTGTTTTTATGAATATGGACAATATTTTCTGAAAGCAAAAAAATTTTCGATGAAAAATGAATTTTTAATACAATTATTTGTTATTTTTTAATTATAATAGATTTTTTACATTTAAGTTTTAAAAAAATATAAAATTAGTTAAAAGCCGCATCCGCTTTCCTAAGTGTCCTTATGAGATATATCTTTTTTAGCATGTTGTAAATTGTATCATTTTGACTAATCAGAAGATCTGCAGTAATTAAGAAATGTAATTTTGTGTTTATAATCAGGCTGTAATTATAAAGTACGGAAGACCAACCAGAATACAATTAAGTTGCGTTATTTGAGTTAAGCATTGTTCTCCGCTGTTAAGGCCTTTTACTTTTTTGCAAAACACGTGTGGAGAAGTTAATTTGATTTTTCAATTTCAACTGAGAAGTAAATTACCTACAAGTATCAGTATCATCTTATGAAATTTATATGATCTTATTTTTTATATTAATCTCAGTTATGACTTATTTTTTTCCATAAATGAAATATCAAAATTAATAATAAAATGAATGGAAATACAAATAAACAGTAAAATGTAATAAATGTACATAAAATTATAGTATTTTATGTACAATTCTGATAAAATTTCATAAGAAAGGTACCTATAAATTAATTAGATATTATGAAATTTAATTTCACTCTTAACAGTTTTATTTTAATTTTTTTTATAATATATTTTCCATAAAGCATCATAAACGTAAAGGTGAAAGCTAAGTACAAAAAAAAAAAAAAATTAGCTTTTTAGACCACTGAAAGTTTTTTAAAAAAAAAACGAGGTAAATAATTTGTTCACTTAAATGTAAATTATTTCACTTTTTTTCTCCTTCCGTAGAACAAATTATCCTCATGTAATCCGTCAATATATCATTCATCATTGTCAGCTTTTGACGCGAAAGTTTATGACCTGCTTTGTTTTATTTTCAAATTACATCTTTTCGGCGCAAAAGCTAAGTTAAGTTTGGTTCAAAATATTTTAAATAAACATTATAATTTCTGATTTTCTTAAAATAAGTTTTGAAAAAAAATGATAATTGATTTTTAAAAAATTTCAAAGTGAGATTTTTTTTTTTTTTTAAAATAAAAAATTTTGTCATGATTGATTATCTGTCAATTTTTTGAAAAAAAAAAAAAAAAACAAGATTTTTAACGAAAATTTCGGACGTGCTAGGAACGATTAAAAAAAAAAAAAAATACCCCAAAATACTTTGATCTTTCCTCTTAATAATAACATGAATTTTTAGATGATAAAATTTTGTTTTCGTCATGTTTGGCGTCTTTTTCATCATGCTATGCTCTTTTTTAGCGACCTCATTGAGATACCTAATAAAAAATAATTTCACTGGAACATTTTGAAGAAGGAAATTGTGGTTGTATGTTTTCTTCCCACGCTTCATCAAGCAAACGTCGTAGATTAGAATTTTGAAGTTGAGAACAAGTGACTTGAAGGAAGACGACAACAACCATAACAGACAAAAAAAATTTCTGTGTTTTCTAAAAAAAAAATTTGAGTTGAAAGTTTAAAAGTTTTCGTAGTCATTTTTTTGAAACATGAAACAAATGAAACAAAAAAAGGACATTCTGGTCTTATCAAGATATTTGTATATCTACAAATGAATGGCTTAAATATCAACGATTGACCTTTTCATATCTCATATGTTCAAATATATATATATATATATATATATATATAAT